AAAGGATAAGGCCTGACTCACTGCACTTTGCCCTGAACTTCCAGGTAGGAAAGAGGGGCAAGCAGGGAAGCAGTCTCACCTTTTCTTTTACAAGACAACACTTACAGAAGTTCAGGGGTGGGTGTTTCTATAAAAAACAATGGTAGAGCAGCTGCAAGTGCCAGGCAGTGGGCTGTCTGCACATTAGCTTGTGTTCTTCTCAAGCAAAGAGCTCCTTAAGGACATCCAACTCCAAGCCCATCTAGCGCTAGATCAGGGGACTCCACATCAGTCCCATTGGATGCCCAGCAGCTCGCAACTGACATTCCAAAGCTTCTTTGCCAGCTCATCATTCCGGCCTTGAGGGGAAACATAGGCAGGCCGGCAGTCACTGCAATAGGAAAGAAAAGACTCATCAAATGCCCTGACTGCATTAACTCAGTTAAGTCTCAGAAGGGTAGCTGTGTTTGTTTTTTCAGATAGGTACTATGAGAAGTCTTGTGGCACCTTAGCCACTGATTTATTAGGGCATAAGCTTTCATGGGTGAAATCTACTTCATTCAGATGAATTCATTCATTCACACATTCCATTCATCTGAATGGATTTCACCCACCAAAACTTATGCCCTAATAAACACGTTAATCTCTAAGGTACCACAGGACTCCTCATAGTTTTAGCTCAGTTAAAATGTAGGGACATGCCAGATGCTGCTGCTTTCCATCGGCTTATCTTCTTCAAGCTGGATTTAAAGAAGATAGAAGAAGGGGGAACTAGCAGCCTTGCTCACTGTGGGGGGCAGAGACAGGATGAAAGTAGGAGAGGCGGCAGCTGGCCCAAGAAGCAAGCCTCGGTGCAGGCAGTGTTGGAGGTGGAAAGGAGAGCTGATAATGTGAGGCACACTAATCCTCATAGTTCCAAGATGGGCTTGCTTGTGTCTAGTTTATATAAAAGGTTACATTTACAGTCCAAGTACCATAATTCACTGAAGCCATTTTATAGGACATGACTATAAAAAAGTCTCACAATCTGGAAAGCAGCTGAGAAACTTGACCTTTCATTTTGTATGTTTGTAAAGCACCTTATACCTGCATAGGCCATATAAATAATCAATGTGGCTGCCTCAAGTAGGTGAACATAAGAATGAGCAGCATCACTCCCCTCTTCCCCTCCAACACGGCTGTAGAGAAGAACAGCGGGGGAATACACTGCAACATTAGCAGAGCTTGCTGAGAAGATGTCACCCGCAAACAAATGATTAAACAAAATTCAACACATTCTCCTGAGGAGCCAGTGGCTTGAATATGGTTTTCCAACCTAACGTAACATGGAGGAGGGCTGTAATGTAGCAGCCTAGATACCTACTTCATAGCAGGACTTCACTCACTGCACAAACATTCTATTCATAGAGATGATACCTATAAACTGATTTCACTAAAAAGGTAATTCCATATTTTATACACTATGAGTTCCACTGAAAGACCAGCTTTTCCACTAATGTCCAGAATCAAAGACATTCCTTTATTTTAAAAACCCTACCTATGTCTTCTCTCCCATGGCACACATGTGCCTTTGGTGAATAGCTGCTGTCCTTCTGCTCTTCCATCCTACCACATTCCATTTTGTTGTAACAAGATTCTTGGGTGCAGACATTGTGTGCTTGCAGATGTACTAGTGGGTGTGGGAGAATAAAGAACAGAAGACTGAGGACCTGTTCAGGGTTTCCAAGCATGCTAGAACCTGCTCATTATGATTGTAGGAATGAGATAAATAAATTGGCATTCAGGAATGCTGATGGGCTAATCTCCCCTTAATGTCTGCTTGATTAAAGGAAAAATGCAGTTTATTATTGCCTTAAATGTATGTGACATTTACTTAATCAGACTCAAAGACAAGATAAGACATGGATAGCTGTGGACTGTTTCGTGCTTGCCATATTAGTAATAACAGCAAAAGCAGCCTAGTATGGATTGGGGCCAGAAGATCAGAACTGCAGGCAGTGATACAGACCCCAGCATGTGACTTGCACCGCTCCTTTATAGCACAGATGTACCCACTAATCTAAATGAACAGGAGATGCACAAAATGTGCCTAAGAGAAGCTGTGGTGGGCTCCAGCTGTATCTTTTCTTCACAGCTGTGTTTATACTGGGCCACTTATTCCAGGGAATAAGCTGCGAGCTGTCTACACTGGCCCTTGAATTTCCGGAAAAGCAACGATGCTCTACTGTACAAAATCAGCCGCTATAACGGAAAAACTATTCTGCTCCCGCTCGGGCATAAGTCCTTATTCTGGAACACTGTTCTGGAAAAGGGCCAGTGTAGACAGCCCAGTAGTCTTTTCCAGAAAAAAGCCCCGATCGCGAAAATGACGCTCGGGGCTCTTTTCCGGAAAAGCGTGTCTACATTGGCCACGGACGCTTTTCCGGAAAAAGGGCTTTTCCGGAAAAGCAGCCTGCCAATGTAGATGCTCCTTTTCTGGAAAAACTTAAAACGGAATACTATTCCGTTTTAAGCAGTTCTGGAAATTCATGCCAGTGTAGACACAGCCCCCCTGTTTTGCTACAGGGCATCAGTTTCTGCTTTAGCTGCTTTCTTCATCACTGTTTATTTTAGATGAAAGCCCTTTTAAGACATTAGTGTTTCACAATTTACATTCAATTAAGTGACAAGATTTGGACACCGCTCTATTCTAGAGACTGTCCAATGTAGATCTGGGCAGGCGCATACTTCAGCAGCTAGCTAACTATTTTTCCATTGAGTTCATGCTTGCATTTTTTATAAAACTGAAATTCACTATAAGTTCACATGCTCCAGCACACAGGACAGTTGAGCTTCACAAAGGCTACTTTTATCTACTGGGAGATGCACACATTCTAGAGAGAGGATTAGGGGACCTATTTCTATTGCTGAGGCAGATTAAGATGGCATAAACTCTGTACTTAAAGATCACACACACACACACACACACAGGCATATCCTGGAATAATCCTGCAGTTCAATCACAAGAAGATTGTGTTTCTAGTCTCAGATCTGAAGGAGGGAGTTCTCATGTAAACAGCCTTCACACTAAAATCAAAGGGTAATTTCCATATCAAATTCCCAAATGTGAGGTGGTCACAGGGATGAAGGCAGTACTGAATATAGCTGATCAAGAGTAACATGTGATGATCACTTGGTTGTGTTCTTGAAAGAAGCAAGAGGAGGGTTAGGCAGGTCACAAGATACGGATTTCAAGTTGACCTAGCAAAATGGGAGCTGAACTGAATGAAGAAGAGCTACAGAACCAGTTGGGCAGAAAGAACTGCATTGTATGCCATAATGTACAGGGATCTCCTCTGCTGAAGCTTCTTGCAATGTCTGCAGCTCTTGAATGTGCCACCCTTTGGAGAATCAGGCCAGTGATGAAGGTGTCTAACTTGAGACAGTTTTGAAAATCTTGATTTCTGCTTGTGCAGCACCTAGCATATTTGCTACTGCCTTATTAAGATAATGTGTCTCATACCTTCAATCTGAGGACCTCCCAAACCCTTAAATTCAGGTGCTATCATCCTTTTGCAGATGGGGAAAACTGCAAAGAGATTCAAATTTATCCCTGATGTCACTCAGCTGAATTCAGTGAAGATCCAGCAGAGTTGATTAGAGCCAGAGAAGTTGGGTGACTTCCCAAGTTCAGACCAAGTCTGGCAAAGAAAGAAAAGAATCCACAGTCTGATGCCCAGGGCTCGACAAAGTGCGGCAAGAGCTACTCGCCAGCCCCGCACTGTACATGTGCCCGACTGGTGCTGTGTGCATGAATGGCTCATGGAGCGACCAGCTGAAATCTACTCATCACGGGCAAGTAGAAACAGCGGTTTGTCTAGCCCTGGTGATGCCCATCTTGCTCTTTAGGCATGAGCCCACTCAAAAGCTACAGGACTAGGTATAATCTAAATCACTGCACAAGTAAAGGATTTCTGTGAATTATGACTTGGTGTCCCCTTCCATGAACACCACCTTTCCAATTCACATTTTTAACACTTCTCCCTTCAAGTCTATGTAAACTAGGGATATGAAAGTGTAACCGTGTATGCAGGCTCAACGGTTAACCTTCACAGTTACACACAGGCTCCTGGTAAACACAGGGAGCCAGCTTAAAAGCCAGCTTCCTACATGCACCAGCTCCCGGGAAACTGCCTGCCCCCCTGCATGTAACCATTTCACTGCTGAAATTTTCAGCCGTTACACATTTACTTAAACGCATTTTAACATCCCTAGTGTAAACCTCAATACAGTTCCCTTTCAGAAAAAGATTAGCGAACTGGGCAGTGATATATCAGCCAGTGCATGAATTACTCCCTTTAAGTAGAGGGTGGATTATGTCACATTTCTCTGTTCATTCTACTGACAGCTCTTCTCCTGCTTATCCCCATACCCAAAGACATCTGGGTTACATCCTTCTACCCCAACCCAACAGACCAAGGACTTCTGCCCACCTGAAATACTGCCCAGTCACGGACTCCAGCTCCTCAGCCACTGCACAGTATATACTGGTTTGGGCTCCTTCTCGTGGAGTCTTCAAGAAGAAGGAAAATGTCTTCCATAACAGAGTCATTAGAATCGAGTGCCGGATCAATTCAGAATGAACAGATCCAGGATGCAGAGAGTTTGCAGTGACACCAGTGCCTACGGAAAGTGGTACAACAAGGGACATGCATCAAATTAGACCCTGTCTACATGCACTAGAGCTTTCTTAGAAGGAAAGAGTTAACCTGTTTTATCAAGGTATCTAAAATGTTAGTGTAACAAAGATTGAGGTGCAGACAAGGCTGTCCTTACAATTTATGGGACCCTATGTAAACTACCTGAGGCTACACTGCCCCCTCCATCTCAACCTGCTTCTGCTGGGGCTCAGGGTTTCCCCCACCCAGTGGCTTCTCCTGGGCTCAGAGTGTCCCTCACCCACCCATGTCTTCCCATGTGTGACTTCTGCTGGGGCTTGGCTTCCCTCTGCCTCCCACCTCAGCATGGCTTCTGCTGAGGTTCAGGATCCCCTTGTACCCCCCTATGGCTTCTCTGTCCCCCAATCTTCTGTTGGGGCACAAGTTTTCCCTGAAGACAGTGTGGAGCTGCAGAGGGCTTCTCTCCATCCCTAGTGTGGCAGGAAGGAGCCTTCAGCTCAGTGGCCAGCTGGCTGATAAGAGCCTATGGGCAGGCAGGGGGAGGAAGGGGACAAGGAGAAAGCAGCCCCTGCTGGTGGTAGCTAAGAGGCTTGCTCAGTGCTTTGTAAAGGACAAGCTCCTCCTGGCTTACTCTAGTACTGGAACTCTAGACAAGAGACCTAATCTCTATTTTTCAGACTTTGAGTCTCAACAGGGCAAGTCTCAGCTTTCCACTCTGGACTTTGCTTTCTATGCTGAGCACAGCAGTATTCAAAAGCCTTTTCAGTAGCAGTCCATGACTCATAATTGCTGCTTTGTTAGTACAAAAGCTGCTCATTCGGTGGTGGTTGCAGATTTGCTTTCTAACAAGCACTGAAAACAATGAAACCCATTCCTCTGAGTAAGGTCAGCTCACTCCTTCCCTCTAGCCCCAGGAGTAGGGACATGGCCAACCCTTGCTCACTGGGGATTGACCTAGTCTGCTCCCACCCACCCTGAACACTTGCCAGGGACTTCCATAAAGTAGTTTCCTTATTCCACCTTGAACATCTTAATTTGTGCACATAAGTGCAGCCACTTTCCAGCACCATCTTGAATGCCATCCTCTGGAGCTCAAGGGATCTGATTATTCCACAGCTGATATTCAGTCTACTTCCCTCTCAGACTCACCTTTCAGGCGTCTAGCCAGCTCCCGGGTGAAGAGTACATTAGCCAATTTACTGTGACAGTACGCAAGACCCTTGTTGTAGCACTTCTCACCCTGGAGGTCATGGAAGCGGATCCTGCCTCCATGATGAGCCAGCGAGGACACGTTTACTATGCGGGCTGGAGCTGACTGCTTCAGGCGCTCCAGAAGCAGGAAGGTCAAGAGGAAGTGACCTAGGGAGATGGGGATTTGTTTTACTTTGCCTTTCAGATGTGCCTTCCATCCTAGACTCCCAAAGCACTTCAGACCGGGTACTGAGGCTCCTCACTATTCGCCCATTTCACAGATGCGAGACATGAGGCAGAGACATGTCAGGGCCCAAAATTTAATAAGTGGCCTTTACTTCTGGGTGCTCAAAGAGCTGGAACTGCCAAAAGGTTGCAGGAGACGGAACTCCCATTTGCTGTATACCCTCAAAATAGGCACTCTCTGGGCTGAGAGGGCAAGCTTCTCCTGCATTGCTCCTCAAGAAATTTAGGACCTTCCCAAAACAGCTTAGGTTTCTACTAAGGCTTAAAAGACTCTAGTCTTCAATTACATTCTTGGGGGCTAGACAGGAGGAGTTCTGGATGCAAAATCTCAGCCTGGGATTTTTGCCACAAAGATTGCAGCTGGCTCTGCCTGCCACATCCAACCATCAGACCCTTACCAAGGTGATTGACTCCCAGATGCATCTCAAAGCCATCAGCCGTCTTGGAGTAAGGGCACAGCATGACACCAGCATTGTTAATGAGGATGTGTAGCGCCTTCTCTTCTGCAAGGAACAAGAGATGGGATGAAACATTAAACAGGGATCCCACAACAACCTTCCAGCACCAGCCTGGCATAGATCAGCCAGAGAACTTGAGCTGACTGCGGCTGTCTTTTCCCTCCAAAATATAAAAAAAAAAAAAAAAAATCTCTGCAGTCTCTGGGGATTCCAGGCCCATCAATGGGGAGGGGGAGACAAAGAGGGCAACTGCCCTGGAGCCAGGGCTGGATTACCCAATAGGCAGACTAGGCACATTCTTAGGGCACCAGCAAAGCAAGGGGCACAAAAAAATAAATAAATTGTACGGTATAGTATTGTTTTTATTTTGAATTACATATGGGGAGCACCATAATCTTTTCAGTGCTTAGGGCCTCTATAGGTCTTAATCAGGCCCTGCCTGGAGCCCAGCAATTACCCTCACCTAACAGTAAATGAGACAGCATCTGGAGTCATACCTTCTAGGAAGCTCTCAGCAAACTGTCGGATAGACTTGGTTTCAGCCAGATCCAGCTTCTTCACAATTACTTGTTGGTTTCCTGTCTCTGCTCGGATCTCAGAGGCTGCTGCTTCCCCCTTTGCCATGTCTCTGCAGGCAATGATCACCCTGGCACCTGCAAGGTGGAAAGGATGACAGAAACATGGACATGAGTAGTGGGGAGCCAGGACAGACAGATTGATGGCTCCCCAAAAGGTTATAAATAAATCTGAGCAATAAGTGGGTAAGTCAGGGAACTAGTTGTGGGACAATCAGCCTTTCACTGTGGACCAGACATCCACTGCACAAATTCAGCACTTCAGTCCTACCAGATTCCTACACTGGTAGTCTCAGCACAGTGGCCAAGGTTTGAATGGACCACTCCTGAACCGAGATGGCCTTGCCTAAGATACTGTTTCTACAATGATTCTGAATGTAATTTAGCACCCTTCATAGCAGCTGTCCAAAAACCTAGCTAACCTGAACCATGTTGTAACAAAGACACACACCAATGAAAGTAAGTTTTTTCCCAGCCTCATGTAGATGGGGGTCTAATGAAAACAGCAGTGTTCAGGATGAAGTTTTAAAAGTGTATCTAGAACAGGGGTGGGCAAAAGGGTCTCCATGGGCCAGATGTGGCCTGCCAGGCAGGTTGATCTGGTCCGTGGAGGCCCTGCCGCTCCCCTGCCCTCAGGCCAATTAGGACATGATGTTTCCTCTGCCCTGCCTGGAGCATGCAGCTCCTGGCAAGGCAGGAGGAGGCTTTGTGTGCTTCCCCGCCCCGAAGCCCTGATTGGTCTGGGGGCAGAACAGAGAGCACACAAAGTCTCCTCCCACCGCCAGAAGCATGGATACGTAGGGGGAACCTTGGAGGGGGGAAAATGGGGACAAAGGTGCTCCTCCACCCACAGACCAATCATGTCTGTAGGTGGGAAAACGGGAGTATCCTGGCCCTGCCCTCTCCACTTGAGGCCCCACCCCTTCTGCTTGAGGCCACTTCAAAAATTTCTGAAGTGGTCACTGGCAAAAAATTATTGCCCATCCCAAACTAGAAGCTATAAGGCTCTCATACTGTAAATCTATTCTCAAGTCATGGGGCCTGCTTCTAGCATTGTTAAAGTTTGTGTGGCAGCAGGATGTATAACCATAATATACATACAACAAATCCTGCATCTTGGCAGGAGGTTAGACTAGATGACTTGTGTGGTCCCTTTTAACCCTATGCTTCCGTGTTAAAGCTCTGGGTTCTCCAGGGTTCTAACTTAGCTCCTAGGACATGGTTGGATCCCAGCTCCATTACAACTTTTAGCTGTGTTATACTGGGTCAGAGGACAACCACGTGTAACCAGGTCTCCAAACTCCATTATAGTTGCAGTATAGATGGGGCTGTAAAAGATAATCCCCCTCCCAGCTCCAGAGAAGAAAACAATATCTAATGAAGATCCAAATTACATAAGGACTTTCAGAGGTGGAGGGAAGAAAGGTGACTTGCCTCTTTGTGCAAGATCTCTGGCAGTCTCCTTTCCAATGCCTGTATTGGCCCCGGTGATCACCACTACTTTCCCATTCAGCTTAGCTGTTGATTTACACACTCCTCCTGCCACATACCTCCTAGAAAAGAGGACAAAAAGAGGTGCTATTAGGGATTCACAACAATATTTTTCTGGTTATCTGGCTCAGTTTTGGGGCTTGGCATTCTGTGTTGTGCAGTCCTGCTTGCTTGCTCGCTCTGATCCAGCCATCTCATTAGTGGGTTCAGAACAATTAGAAAGAGAAAGACATGGGCACATTTGTAAAAACTGGTAGTTCCAGGTTCCTGTTTTCTTATATTCCCCCACAACCCTGTCGTCATGGGGTCACAATTGAGAATACCAAATTTAGGTGAAACTACTATGAAACCAGGCAAATATACCCCCAAACTGGTATATCTCATGGGCAAATAATCACCAAACTAGCAACAAAAGTAAACTTTTGTTTCACCACATTGGCTAACAAAAAGTCAGAAAAGTAGTATCCTGATGCATTCCAGATGTTCTATCACCCAAACAAACATTGGAATGGTTTCTTTAAAACCAGTCTTATCAAATAACAATTCTTTAAAACCAGTCTTATCAAATAACAGGTTCTTCTGATCCCAAAGGATCAGCCACACACCCAGGTCAATATACAACCAGATCTTATCCAAAACCAAAAAAAAAAAAAAACCAAACCCAAATAAATAAATAAATAACACTATTGCCAATCCTTTAGTATCTAAAGGTAGGTAGGTAGAGAGATATGTTTTGATTCTTTTAACCAGTTAAAACTAATAATTGCAAAGTTCTTGGATCAGACTTGAAGCAGTGATGGAATAAACTGCTGGCTTGAGTCAAGTCGCTGGTTGCTTCCAAATCTTTGGAAGTTCCTCAGTCCTTTGGCCAGAATGCTCCCATTAGTGTAAGTCCATAGCCTTGAGCAGGAAAGAGGCAAAATGGAGGTGTTTCTGGGGCCTTTTATAGCTTCTGCCACATGGAGGGACTCCCAGTGTTTTTTCTGTAGAAAGTTACAGTAGCAAGAGTGTGTTTGGAGTCACATGGACAAGTCAAATGTCCCTGCATAGCTTTGCTTAGTCACAGCAGCGGCCATTACCTATGCTTCATATGGAGCATCCACAGAAAAGTCCCTTCACATCTCCCATGGTCCACTGTGACTTAAGCATCCCTTGATGAGCCACTTAATTTGACCAGTCCCTTCAAGATGTGCTGGTTAACTACCTTTTGGGCATTACCCCAGCAGCAAACATTTGAAATACAGATATAGAGCCATAACTCTATAGCTATATACTCATAACTTCAGATACAAAAATGATACAGGCATACAAATAGCATAGCCATATTCAGCAAGTTATAACCTTTTTACAGACATCTTACATGCCACATTTTATATAAGACTTGTTGCAAATATAGAACAGTAGTAGCAACCGTGATATATATGGTCATACATCAATCAGATAATATCACACCTCCCATGGTGCCAGTTAATGCTCACTCTTCTTAGAGGTCACTACAGCCACTGATGTAGATTGCCATTCATCTCCCAAACCTCAGCACCCTAAGGTGGACAGTATTACAAGCTGCCCATTCTGCTATAAACATTTTGGTATGTAATGGACTAACAGATGGGTCTTGAGCCCTGGTCTCCAGTGGCTGCAGCCCAAAGAGGATGTAAGCCCTGATACTACTGCCACCTAGCCCAGAGCATCCTTTATTTAGTTGGGGGCATAGACCTTAAGTGTTCCCTGCCATGCTGCGTGCAGTAGGTCTGGAGACCACAATGTTTGTATATACACAGCTGAGGGTTTGCTATGAGCACCACATAACAAGGGAATATGGTGCTGAGCCCCAGGACAGAGAGGCACTATACACAGCCCAGGAGCAACCCAGAGGCAGCAGCCAAGTCCCTTCTCCCATCCCTTGTCTCATGAACTAACAAATGTACCTTTTCCCTAAATCCTACCTCAGATGCTCTAGCACACTGCTTCTGTTACAGATCCTCACCTGGGCTTCTGCATTAACCAACATACTGCTCTTCTTTTCCACCCTGGCCTATGGCCCAGGTATCTACGAGCAGGCACGTTCCCTGCCAGAAGTTGCCTTGAGCAATGGCAAACACAGCAAGTAGCTTCTATACTGAATGTTCTAAACTCTCACTACTAAGTGTTAACTGCCAAATTGTTACAAAAGTGGGGGGGAGAGTTACCCTATTGGCTGTTGATATTGGTTCTCTTAGATCATACAATGATCTTCCTTTCACCTAGACCATCTGAACTAATCTAATGCACCAACACTAAATAAATTTAAAAGTGTGAGGTGCATAAAAAGCCTCCCATCATACTATTGATTTTTAAATGACCAAAGCACTAAGCCAGATATCCAAAGCACAACTCCAACTAAGTCAATGTGGTTACATCAAGGGGAAATTTTGCCTTCTTCAATCACAGTTTTATGGATTGACAATTATTTCTGAAACTTCATTATTTCCTAAAGTAAGATGCCACCTTACATCAACTTTAAAGAGCTGAAAGACAATGAAAAGGCAATTATAGAAAGTTTACAAAGCATTTAAAGCGGCTTCTTGGGGTCAATTTAAGAGTGAAATATAGTAATTTTATTGCCAACACTACAAGACATTATTTTAACCTGAGAATTGGTTCAGAGAATGATAAAAATTGGAGCTAGAAATATTCAGTAAGTCTCAATTCAGTCCTGGCTCAGGCATGAATGCAGAATTGCCTCCTGCTATTTCCTAGATACAGGGTTCATGGTTAGTCTAACATTTTAACTTGGAAAAAAAAAAAAAAAAACAAACCTCTGCCACTCCCTTTCCAAAAGCAAACAACCTATTATATTTTACTGGAAGCAAAAAAACTGTCTTCTTTTACTTAATCCTCTAACCTAAGCATTTATGGTCATACTATTTTTATGCAGCATTTTTATACCTTTCAAATGCTATACAGACATTAAGGTACTAAACCTCTGAACAACTTGGTATGTTAGCTATTAGCTCCATTTTACAGATGGGGAAATTGAGGCACAGAGAGACTAGCCCAGGACTCAAACAAAGGGACAGGGAAAACAGGGTTCAAACCAAATATAGCTTAGCTGGCTGCTAGTTCCCCGCTTTAATTGCATGTTAAGTCTGCTTCATTATAAAGAGGAATGGAGAGGTTTTCCAACTCATAGGTAACGTGATAATGTAAACCCAGGTTCTCAGAACCCTGGAGCCTTTTCCTTTGAAATTTGATGCTTACATTTATTATCTAGCATATTACCTGATCTTTCTCTAAGTGCCAATAATGAATAAACTGATCTGCTTTCTCTACCAACAATGCACTTGTTGCATCCCCATTTAGTAAAAATAAAAAGGTATATGCTTTTGAAAGGATTTACACACTAGCTAGTCAATCATTTAATACAGACCTGATGTAGGGAGCTGCCATGAATAGGAGAAGGAGAACACAGGTGCATATTCCCAGCACAGTCACCAAGCAGTTTAGCATTACTGCTGCTGTTTGCCCGCCCTTCCAGTCTAATGACTCTCAGCCGATCACAGACAGAATGAAATACACCAGCGAGGGAGCATTGCATGCAGGGAATTGTAGTCCGAGCCATCAGTTTTGTGTACAGAAAGATAAGAGCACATTATGGGAGTTGTAATACAATAACCTACACTGTGTAATGGGCAGTACTGATGGGGTATACCCAGTGATTTCTCTGCAGGAGGCAAGCCAGAGAAACAGATATACCTTCTCCACGCCCCCGCCAAAAAAAAAAACCTACAGGCAAGTCAGTTTCTTAGATCTAAAAGATCAATAACTTCTTAGCCACTGAGTTCATTTGGTCTTTACTATGTAACTTTCTGAGGTTTGCTTTGTCATTTGCTAAATGCCAGCCAGAGCTGTCCATAGGATGTTTCAGTGTGGCTGCCCCAATCCCCATGCTTTGGGGACACCTGTGGTAGCCATGTCAACCCTCTTATAGATGGGACCCACAGAGCCCAGGGCAGCCCAGAAAGATAACTGGGGTCAGGCTCTCAGTGTGGCAGTGGGAGCTGGAGGTCCAGAGCAACCTGCCAACTTGCTCTTCTCTGCTGCTGGCTGTCCTCTAATTCACTGTGGTGGTGGCAAGTGGAGTGCAGTGGCCTGAGAGATGGGTGGTAGGGCAGGGCAGAGCAGAGCAGGCTGCCGGGTCACTGTTGCTCCTGTTGCCATGGTGAGTACAGAGGGGTCTGACCCCTGCTGCCACCCCTTGGTAATTCCCTGGCTTGTATCACTCAGGGAAGGGGAGGGGAAGGGGCTTGGGGGAAGGGAGTGGAAGGAGGCAGAACAGAGGCGGGAAGGTGTGGGGCTTGGTGAAAGGGGTGACTGGGAGGCAGGGCAAGACTGCATCCTGTTTAAATATTAGTCAATTATATTCAGGACTCTGCTGTTGCCTTACTAAGTGACCTTAGGCAAGTCATTTCACTCTCTTCCTTCTGTTCCACACCTGTAAAATAGGGCTAACAGTACTCTCCTAGATAAAGTATTCTAAGGGGTAAGTGTAAGGAAACTATTGGCCCCTTACTAAAACTCAGGGTTTTTTTTGGCTGGCTAGCCCCAGTAGCAAAAGGGGAAGAGTCCATGAAAAATCAGGATCCTGAGACTAAGTCCCCATGAACAATGGGAAGAGACCAGTGCTCCAAGTCAGCCTGACTAACAGAGTAGACAGGCTAATGAAGGAGTCAGCAGGTTGGGAAGGAGGCAGGGAGGAATCCTGTCCCCTGTGTGACTTGGATTTTCCTGGGTCACACTGAGTTGTGTCCTGGGCTGAGCTGAAGAGCAGATCCCTGATGGGAGGAGAGCTGCAACCATGGAGCCAGAGGGACCAGGAAAGGAGCCTGAGAGCTGGAGGCAGAGAGTGGAGATAGGTGCAGTGGGCAGCTAGAGAGAAGGGGAAGCTCTGGGCAGCAGCAGAGGATAGGGAGATGCCACCAGCCAGAAGGCCTTGCAGGCCAGACTTGGAGGGGGATCATAACCCCAAATGGGGGGCTGATATTGGGGAGAAGGGTCCTGCCACCCAGAACCTGAAGGTGTGTGACCACTACCAGAGTAAGGGTACGTCTAGACTACATGCCTCTGTCGCCAGAGGCATGTAGATTAGGCTACTAGGCATAGGAAAATGAAGCGGCGATTTAAATAATTGCCGCTTCATTTAAATTTACATGGCTGCCGCGCTGAGCCGACAAACAGCTGATCAGCAGTTTGTCGGCTCAAGTTTACTAGACATACCCAAATGAAGTGGCAATTTAAATAATCTCTGCTTCATTTAAATTAAAATGGCTGCCGCGCTGTCCCAATCAGCTGTTTGGTGGTACAGCACTGTAGTCTGGACGCTCCATGGTCGACATCAAAGGCATTTGTCGATTTCCCCAGTCTGCCTCGTGGGATGGCATGCCTTTGATGTCGACCATGGAGCGTCCAGACTACAGCGCTGTGCTGCCAAACAGCTGATCAGCACAACGCGGCAGCCATTTTAACTTAAATGAAGCAGCTGTTATTTAAATCGCCGCTTCATTTTCCTATGCCTGGTAGTCTAGACGTACCCTAAGTGTCCCACGCGCAGCTTCCCAGCAGCATAGCCAGGGCCTGGGAAGGAGGCCTGGGACCTATGAGGAACAGACTGTGAACTGTCCTTATATTCCAGAGACTCTGTTTGTGATGTCCCGGTGCCACAGTGTGGGGTTATATCTTTTCCTTTAAACTTTCCCATTTTTCCTTATTTTTTTAATTGTTTTATAGACTCATAGGCTGTGTCTACACTGGGCCACTTATTCTGGAAAAGCAGCCGCTTTTCCAGAATAAGCTGCGAGCTGTCTACACTGGCCGCTTGCTTTTCCGGAAAAGCAATGATGATCTAATGTAAAATCGTCATTGTTTTTCCGGAAAAACTATGCTGCTCCTGTTCGGGCAAAAGTCCTTTTCCAGAAAAACTGTTCCGGAAAAGGGCCAGTGTAGACAGCACAGTAGTCTTTTCTGCAAAAAAGCCCCGATCGCGAAAATAACAATTGGGGCATTTTGTGGAAAAGCGCGTCTACATTGGCATGGACGCTTTTCCGGAAAAAGTGCTTTTCCGGAAAAGCATCCTGACAATGTAGACGCGCTTTTCCGGAAATACTTAAAACGGAAAAACTGTTCCGTTTTAAGCATTTCCGGAAAAGGGTGCCAGTGTAGACGTAGCCCTCTAGTATATAGAGAGCATCTGGAACAAACATTCTGGATGAAACAAAGACCCACCTACCCTGGGGATGCAAGGGTCACAGTCGTTTTGTTATCTCGACTCCCACACATCTGGAATGATTCACATCTTTAAGAATCCCTTCGATGGCTCTGCCCCTGTCCATCTCCAAAGCTCGCCAAGCACAGGGACTTACTAGCGGGTCAGCAAGTCTCAGCCGGGTGCCTCCTCACACAGGGTTCGCGCTGCTTTCACTGAGCACCCAGCCTGACTGAGGAAGCTGGACTTTTCAGTGAGCAATAAATGCTCCCACGCACCAGCTGTAAGTAAGCTGACAGGCGAGAGATGTCTCCAGGTGAGGTCTGGCTGCTTGCCCAGAGGACTCCACCCCCCATCCTCCTGTGGTGTTTGTCAGGAGCATTAAGGCAAAGCTTATCCAAAACCTTCTCTTTTCTAAAAGGGCAAGGAGACAGATGTGATCTAGATGCTGACCGAAGGGAGAAACCAATTGCAGCTCCAAAACTGAAGAACATTTGCAACATTTCATTAAACACCTTGTTGAAACATTTTGAAATGTCCTTGCTGTTTTCCCTTCCCACCCCAGGATGCAGGAGAGTGAAGGACACCCTGGTTGGTCTGGGGTTGTGTCACCTTTTCACTTTTCTGTCTTTCTCTGCTGGTCCAAGTTGGATTCTTGGGCTATGTCTACACTTGCAACTTCTTGCACAAGAAATATGCAAATGAGGCTAAGCGTGGAATATTGCTGAGCCTCATTTGCATACCTAATGAGCCGCCATTTTTGCGTTAAAGGCTTTTGTGCCAGAAGGAGCTGTCTACACTGCCCCTTCTTGCACAACAAAAACCCTCTTGCACAATGCCGTTCTGCCCCTTATTTTTCAGGAAGAATGGCATTGCGCAAGAGGGTTTTTGTTGCGCAAGAAAGGGCAGTGTAGACACCTGCTTCTGGCACAAAAGCGTCTTCCACAAAATGGCAGCTCATTAGGTATGCAAATGAAGCTTGGCGATATTCCACGCTTAGCCTAATTTGCATATTTCTTGAGCAAGAAGCCGAGAGTGTAGACATAGCCTTAGTGTAAAGATTCCAAGGCTGGGGAACCTCCCACATCCCGGCTGTGTCTAGACTGGCAAGTTTTTCCTCAAAATCATCTGCTTTTGCAGAAAAAACTTGCCAGCTGTCTACACTGGCCATTTGAATTTCCGCAAAAGCACTGACAATCTCATGTAAGATTGTCAGCGCTTTTGCGGAAATACTATGCTGCTCCCATTCAGGCAAAAGTCATTTTCTGAAAAACTTTTGCACAAAAGGGCCAGTGTAGACAGCACAGTAGTGTTTTCCGCAAAAAAGCCCCGATCACGAAAATGGCGATTGGGGCTTTTTTACGGAAAAGCGCATCTAGATTGGCCACGGATGCTTTTCCGCAAAAAGTGCTTTTGCAGAAAAGCATCCTGCCTTAAAGTAAACAAGCCAAGCTCCTTGAGTCTCCTTTCATAAGACAGGTTTTCCATTCCTCGGATCATCCTAGTGGCCCTTCTTTGTACCTGTTCCAGTTTGAATTCATCCTTCTTAAACATGGGAGACCAGAACTGCACACAGTATTCCAAATGGGGTCTCACCAATGCCTTGTATAATGGCACTAACACCTCCTTATCGCTACTGGAAATACCTCGCCTAATACATCCCAAGACCGTATTAGCCTTTTTCATGGCCATGTCACAATGGCAGCTCATAGTCATCCTATAATCAACCAGGACTCTGAGGTCCTTCTCCTCCTCCGTTACTTCCAACTGATGTGTCCCCAGCTTATAACTAAAATTCTTGTTATTAATCCCTAAATGCATAACCGTACACTTCTCACTATCAAATTTCATCCTATTGCTATCATTCCAATTTACAAGATCATCCAGATCTTCCTGTATGATATCCCGATCCTTTTCTGAATTGGCAGTAGCTCCCAACTTTGTGTCATCTGCAAATTTTATCAGGAGACTTCCACTTTTGGTGCCAAGGTCAGCAATAAAAAGATTAAATAAAATTGGCCCCAAAACTGATCCCTGAGGAACTCCGCTAGTAACCTTCCTCCAACCTGACAGTTCACCTTTCAGTATGACCCACTGTAGTCTCCCCTTTAACCAGTTGCTTATCCACCTCTCAACTTTCATATTAATCCCTATCTTTTCCAATTTAACCAATAATTCCCCATGTGGTACTGTATCAAATGCCTTATTAAAGTCGAGGTAGATTAGATCCACTGCATTTCCTTTATCTAAAAAATCTGTTACTTTCTCAAAGAAGGAGATCAGATTGGTTTGGCACGATCTACCTTTTGTAAAACCATGTTGTAATTTGTCCCAATTGCCATTAGCCTCAATGTCTCTAGCTACTTTCTCCTTCAAAATTTTCAAAATTTTTTCCAAGATCTTGCATGTCAAATTAACAGGCCTATAGTTACTCGGGTCGCTTTTTTTCCCTTTCTTAAAAATAGGAACTATATTAGCAATTCTCCAGTCAAATGGTACAACCCCTGAGTTTAGAGATTTATTAAAAAATGTTGCTAATGGACTTGCAAGTTCATGTGCCAGTTCCTTTAATATTCTTGGATGAAGATTATCTGGACCCCCCGATTTACTCCCATTAAGCTGTTCAAGTTTGGCTCTAACATCCTAGCATGGCAGATGAGGCCATAACAGGCAATGTGATGGCAAGTATGTGGCTGGAAATTTAAAATGGTTATTGTGCAGCTGTAAGCTTGGGTTGGTGTGTACTATCTCCAATATCTTGCTAGTGGCAATCTCGCATCTGATATTATTGCTCAGAATTGGGAGCCCTCGGAGTAGAGTTGAACAGAGTGCCAGAGATGATATGCATGGTGGCATATAACTGCATATCCACCTATTTGGTGTGTGACGATTGACTCCATAATGGTGTACAGTACTCCACCACCAAATACAAGGCACTGGCGAGAGCAATGGATACTTTATAATTTCTAACCAGTCCTTCGTCGCTGATCCCACAATCTGCTTGCCTGGTTTTGACCTGCCCCATTGTCAGTGATCCCTATTGAATAGGTTCCGGACTGAGCAAGGTCTCTGTGCAGCCAATCATTATCACTGTGGCCTTCGGAAAAGTCCTTTGAGCAGCTGCAGCATAACACAGACAATGAAACATGTTGTCTTTGAATGCCTGGTGGCTAGGTTCAGTGGTGATGTAGAAGAACAGCATCATGCCACTGAAGATGCCATTGCTTGGCTTAGAAGACTATGCACATACTAAATAAATAAATAAATAATCTATGTACTGTATCTGTCTGCTCCGTGGACAGGAGAATTCAGTATCCAGATCTGCCAAGCCAGCACCTGAATTAGGTTCATATACATACAAAGCTACTACTGCTTTGGATGACACAACATAACAAACTCAACATATTGGGTTTCTCCGTGGCTGCTGGTGTGTGCACATTTTGCTCTTGGATGTACTTGTAGGGCAGTACTCTTGTACATTTTCCCTCCCTTGCCTGCACAAAGGGATGGAGTCATAAGTGACTTGTGGTAGCACTTGAACCTCTATGCCCCAGCCAACATTTTAATTGCTAAATGGGGTGCCCACACATGCCCCCTCTCATCCCGGCCTCGAGATGGCCCTTCCTATACCCCACAGCACAGGAGCCAACGGGCTCACCAGACCCCTAGGCAAGGCAAGGGGGGAGGACAGCTCCCTCTCCCGTCAATGGCCGGTCCCACAGGCACCCTGCTCTAGCGCCTGTGACAGAAGCCCCCAGGATCAGTGGTAGCAGCTAGGGATCTGAAATCCCATGTAATCAGTGAACCGCCTTAACGGGGCGAGAGGACGCTCCACTGGCACGGTCGGGTTTGCAAACTTAAATTGGGAGGAGGGACCCACCCGAAAATCCCCGCGCTCCCATGTGACCCTCCCCACAGCTGCCCTGCACTGCCTGAGGCGTGTGCCCGGGCCCACAGCGGCGCCGCTGGCGAGAGCGCCCTCACGCGCAGGCGCTGCCAGACTGAACGCATCCGGCAGCTATCGGCGTCCAAGGGGCAATCTTACTGGATGGGAGCAATCCCAGAGACTACACTTCCCGGCATGCCGTGCGCGGCTCGGAGGATGGCGCCTCCCCTTTGGGGTGGCAGCGACTATGCCTGCTCCGTAGAACGGCGCTAGCCCCATTGGCGAGCGGAGATTCGGGCTCCACATGTGGCTCTAGCAAGGCGAGAACCTCGTGGCCAGAGGGCCGCTGCCCGCGGTGCCGAGCGACTGATCATCAGGCGCCATGTGGGCAACCCCCTGGGCGGGACAGGGCACTGGGATGGGGAGGCCCCGACTCGCGTCCCGGAAGTGCCTGTGAGGAGAGGGCGATGAGCCCGGACCCCTAGTAGCAGGCGAGAGGGCCGGGACACGACAGCAGCTGCCGCCATGGCGGGTCGGGGCTCCGGCTCCTCCGAGCATTTCGAGCGGCTGCACGAGATCTTCGGGGGGCTGCACAAGCAGCTGCGAGGCGCCCCGGAGAGACTGCGGGGGAGCGCGGCCGGTGAGGGAGCGCGCGCGCGCGGCCGTTATTGCTTAGGAGCGGGAGACCCCCCCCCCGAGTCTGTCTGGCGCGGGGGCGGGGCAGGGTCATTGGCATCCTTATTAGAGGCCAAGAACTGAACGGGACGTGCAAATTGAGGTCTGACCCTTAAGATCAGGCGTCTCAGACTCTGCCCGGGAGCCATTTGTGGCCCGAGTAGTTCCATAATCTGTGCTGCTCCATGAGTCCCCCATCGCACCCTCTCCCTCAAGCCTCTTCCCCCAAAGGACGCAGCCCTGGTGATTTCCAGTAGAGCTGGTATGTGATGGCAGCAGCCATCGCCTCCCCACACTCACCGCGGCAGAGCAGCACAGCTCTCTGCTCTGCCCGCCACCACCTCTCCGCTTCACCTTGGAGGCAGCAAAAAGGAGTTCCCCAGCCCCAATGAAGGCTGGCTACTATGTAGCTTTGCTTTACTACGACTCCCACTCCTGAGGTGAATGGCTTGGGGGGGGGGGAAATACTGCTGCTGCTGCCAGCTGTAGCCCATCCAGGGCCCCGCAGGCTAATCTGAGTATGGGGGACCATCCCGTCCATAAGGTAGTCCCACTGACATCACTGCACTTACATTATGTAAATTCTTGTATACTTTGGGCCTTTGGCTTAAGTGTCAGCACAAACATAAAACATATGCAGTGTAGGGCTGTTAAAATGCATTTATTTAGGTAAATGTGTAATTGCTGAAATTTTCAGCAATTACACATTTACATGCAAGGTGGGAGGCAGCTCCTTCCCCGCCCCCACTGCTGCCTTGTATCTGAGGCAGCAGAGTGGGGGCAGGTGGCTCCCTGTTTGCACTAGCTCCCATCTGCCAGCAGTTGGGGGGAGGGGAAAGGAGCTGCATGTAACTGTGAAGGTTAACCGATGATCCCAGGCCCATTCCCTTCTGAAACACTAGAATCTTGCTTAAAGTAGGGATGTGAATAGTTAATTAGTAAGCATCAATCTATTGAAATGTTATGGACTCCCTAAACAATATAGCTGTGCCTGCAGCCTGCACGTCCCTTAGCCCAAGCTGCTTCCTGAGCCGCATCCCTCAGCCCGCTCGGGAAGCAATGCAGGCTGAAGGATATGCTGGCTGCAGTAGGCTCCGTACATTTATTTTAATTTCTACTTTAAACTTTCTGCAGACCCCCCTACAGTACTGTTGCAGACCACCAGGGGTCTGCTGACAACAGGTTGGGAACAACTGGGTTAAACATAACATTTAACCAGTTAATTAATTAATTAAACATAAATTTATATCCCTAGCTTAAAGGCCACTATCTAGTCAACTGAATTAATAATGAAGAGTTAAAAACAGTTTCTAAGTCTTCTAGGCAATTTTTGTAGTTTTACTGCTACGTTTTCTTATTTTTAAATGATTTCCTCTTTCCTGTTGCTGTGGGAGACCACATAATCTACAGAAGATTTCTAAAGTGAAACACTGTGCTGCTGTTAAATGTAAAAAGTAATCCTGGAAAAATGAGCTTTTTTTTTCTAATTTTTGAGTTTTACTGTTTGATCTAGCTAGCAGATACTGGTAAGTAGGTGAAATGATTTCTAATGGAAGAATCTCTCTAAAAGTTGATGGTGGCCTTTTAATTCATCTGGTGAATGCTGGTTATATTGGGGGGGAAAAGGGAAGTGACCTGACAAAGGAATGTTAGCAATATAAATGAATTTCCTCACAATCAGGAAGCTCCCTTTCTTTTCAGAAGTGTGACACCGAAGTCTACTCAGCTGATATCTATTCTTTGCCAGAAGAGTGAATAAGGCAAAATATTCCTTGTTCTTTGGCACTTGTTAGTCATGTGACCACCAGGATTAATTATAGTAATTCTCTGTACTTAATATGTGAGCATCAAACTCATAAAAACTTTGTTGTTTAGAATCCAGTAGCTCCTATGCTCAGTCTCCTAGGCTGTTGAGAACACAACACTGCAGTGTTCAACTGACAAGTGGCTCCCCATTAAATACTGAGTTGAACTCAAAGTCTGTGTTCTCTTCTTTGAAATTCTCCATAAAATTGTCCCAAGAATTACTTCATGTAGTATGATGATGACCTTCCAAAATGGCAATATTCTACTGGACACAGTATATTATTATCATCAAGAATGGATCACAAATATGGACTTGCTTGATATTGAAACTGACTGCAAAACTCAAGTTACTTACAATCTAGCCTTCCCTCCCAAAACCCCTATAAATCTATCTTTTGCTGCTTTGCTGTATGGAACAGTGAGAAATGACTCATCACTTTATAATTTTGGGAGGCACTCTGATACCAAAGTGAGGGGAACAAAGAAAGCACTTAAATAGAACACTATCCCACGTTCAAAATTAGAACAGAACAGTAAGCAGGAAGCTGATTTAACTGTATAGTGCAATTTTAAAAGGTAATTTTATGAATAGTGGTCATGGAAGTTTGTCAGTAAAATAGTGTCATTAAAGTTGCATGAAAAACTGAGGGAGGGTCTTAAGAAATGAGTTGCTGCTATTAAGGCTAATCAGTTTAACTGTTGCCAAGCAATTTTTGAAATTCTTATTAAGGATAATTTTCAGTTGTAAATGCTATAAATCATTGCTCAAACCAGGAAAATCCCCAAGAATGATTTCAAAAATAATTTGCAAGAAATTTTGTGGGACTTGAGGAAGGTCCCCATATGGGGTAAGTAAATTTTTTTAGTGGATGTTTCTTCTGCATCTAGTTAACTGGGAGCAGGTGCATCTTAGTGTTCTGAAAAGTCCCATGAAGCTTTCCTCAGAATTGGATAATAGAAAAAAAAATGTGACTTTACAGAGACTTTGTCATCCCCAAAAGCGTTTCAGAGGTGGCCGATCTTAAATTCTTAGACTCTTGTTGAAGTATGCAGATCTGGAGAGCTGTTTCTCTTGACATAACAAGATAAATTCCTTGACTGAAATGCAGACTTTTCTGTTCTATATATAAGATACCAGGACAAAATGGGATTTCTAAGCAATATTGATCAGACCCATCGCTAAAAAGTAAAATGATTTTATTTATTTCTTATTTCTACTTTAGAAGGAATTGAATCACTTCTTTAGCGTTGTTATGATTACATGGATAACATCATCAACGACTCTTCCGCAGCTTTGTTCCTTCAATTGCACTGATACTTGGCTTGATATATTCTAGTAGCAGGTTAATCCTGGATGTTCTGAATGAGACTGTAAAATCTATTTTGACTTTTGTGTAAGGCTAGAACCATTCTAATATTTTTTATTAACACTGCATGACCTTTATCACAATTTGGGCCTGGTCTACACTATAAGCAGAGATCAATCTAAGTTATACAACTTCAGCTATGAAAATAACATAGCTGAAGTCAATACACCTACATCTGCTTACCACAATGGGTCGATAATAGTTGCTCTCCTGTCTACTCCCCTTGTGCTTCTTGTTCTTGTGAAGTACCAGAGTCAAAGGGAGAACAATTAACAGTCGATTTATTACATATATATTGTGGATGTTAAAGTTTGTTCAGTTAAGTAATGGTGTAAAATTTCAGTGGTTACATGTTGAGGACAAGCAGCTCACATTTGCTACCCTTCATTTCTGCAGCACTGAGGGGGAGCTGTGTGTAATCATGCATGTTAACCATTTCTCCGCACGCATCAATCTTAGGTTTGATCTTATTTGAAGTTAGGGCAAACTTGCACTGGCTTCTAGGAGAGAGGAACAGTAGTTTTTATCAGAACTCTTCCAAACATGACTGCCCTTTCCTTTTATAACTAAATCAGTGTTGTAGCCTTCTCAAGCTCTTTCTGCAAGTCTGTATACAATATTCACTATTGCATTTTTGTTGACACGCTTTTCCACAAAAAAGCCCCAATCGCCATTTTCGCGATCGGGGCTTTTTTGCGGAAAACAAATCTCTGCTGTCTACACTGGCCCTTTTGTGCAAAAGTTTTTCGGAAAAAGACTTTTGCCCGAACGGGAGCAGCATAGTATTTCTGCAAAAGCACTGACAATCTTACATGAGATCGTCAGTGCTTTTGTGGAAATTCAAGTGGCCAGTGTAGACAGCTGGCAAGTTTTTCCGCAAAAGCAGATGATTTTGCGGAAAAACTTGCCAGTCTAGACACAGCCCACGATAGGTAATCATATATATGAGAGAGAGAGAGAGAGAACGCTGATGTACATGGCCACGCCCCCTGGCCGTATATGTCAGCGCCCCGCCCCCCTTCTCCTCCCTCCATGGCGGTTCGGCCCAGTGGTGCGCTACTCAGCTGGGCCCCGGCGGGGGAGCAAGCGGCCCTTTGGGGTCCGTGCTCCCCAAACGGCCACTTGCTGCCCTGGGCCCAGCTGAGCGGCCCCCCCTTCCCCTTCCACAGTGTGGTGGGTGTTAAAGAGCCAGAGAAATTATGAGAATGTTCTGGTAGTCCTCATTTTAGGCTGAACTTGTGTAAGTTGGACTCTTCCTGTTATTTAGTCTTCTGTGTGATGTTCCCATTCTATGATGGGTTGAGTTCTGTTTTCATTTCCTTGGAGCATATTTGATATATTTCCTTTTCCAGAAGAGAAGAAGAAACTGATTCGAGAATATGATGAGAAACAATGGGAGGCAAATGAAACGGTAAGAATTTACATTACATTGATTATTTCCCCTTCTCCTTAGAAATAAGTCTCTTGATGGGGTTAGTATGGAGAGTACATCCTCTACCTGTTTTACCATTTTAGGTAAATATAGTTCCATTCTCCAAGACTATCAAGTCTGCACGTTTCACTAGCACTAAACTCAAATGCCACCTCACAATTACCAAGCAAAGCAGAACGCTGCAGGTGCAATCAGAATTCTTAGGATTTTTGATCCTGCAGGAGGCAACCCCAAGAGATAAGTAGCAAATTCCTGCTTTACACTTTCTTTGGTTGCAGTTGCTGCATCCTAGAATCATTTGAATATGGCAGTCTAATCCCATCTTCTTCCTGGGTTTATACAATTGTGTGCATGTTACAGATCCTGGGCATTCAGATCCTGTTCTGCCCAAAATCTAATGGACAGAGCCATAAAAATAAAGGTTGGTTGCTTGTAAATTGATTTCTTTGAGATGACTCTGCATGTTCATGCTTCTGGGTTTTGTGCTGGCTGGTGGGCACTCAATGTTAGAACCCTCTTGAAGGAGAGCTTGTTAGAACATGTGCGTGCCCCCTTGTACTTCGTCCCTGAGCATTTCTATAGGTTAGGCCAGGGTTCTCACAATGATCATTTTTGGTGGCCTCAGGGTGAGATGAGGTGAAGTGGCTTCTAGCCAGGCTTGAGAGCCAAGGACCACTATCTTCCTCCAGGTGGCTGAAGTCAAACCTGCCCCAACCCCCTCACCAGAAGTACCAGGGCAGGGATGGAAATATAGAGGGAGGGTCCTGCTCTGTTGGGGCTGCCCCAGGGAAGGAGAGGGTCATCTTCTAGGGAGCCACGCCTTCTGTAGTAACCTGGCCCAGCACCTGAGGGGACCAGCTCCCTGCTGCCTAAAGAGACAAAAGATCCTGAGGATTCTGATGTGGTTACTGTCCAAGTTCAAGGCAATGAAACAGAACCCCAGCTTGATCAATGGTATCTGTTCGTTCATGTTCAAAAAAGTCATCTTTCCTCATCCTCCTCTTCAGAAAGTGTCAGACACAACTGACTGAACTGCAGACTGATATAGTGGAATTGGATTCAAGCATTGCCCAGATTTCAAATCTTTATCACATAAGACACTGCCTTTCTATTTATAAGAGGGACGATGGAAGCATTCCTGTGGTGGAACTCCATAAGGCTGTGGAATCCAGGATTGCTAGTCCCTCCAATAGTTAGGGTCTGGAAATGTACCCATAAAAGAAAGAAATGAGTAAGGGAACCCAGGCTAAGAAAGCATGAAAAAAGTCACTTAATTCTTTTCCACTCTCTAAATGAAGATCAGACCTCTGATTTGGTATGGACTTTATATGAGACAACGATGGATCTGGAGGAAGGTGAGGAATAAAGGATGAGAGAAATCTGTGTGGAGACCCCGTAGAACAGCGGCGGCCAACCCGTTACAGACAAAAAGCCAAAATAGTGGTGGATATAGCACAAAGAGCCAAGGGAAAGAAGTTGTTGAGCAAAAAAAACAAGGGAAAAAAAAACCTGCCCCTTTAACAGCCACGTGTGGCCCAAGCAGACTTCCATCGGCCACAGTGTCAGATCTCGCTGCCCCAAGCGGCGCCCTGAAGAGACAAGGAAAAAAGGTGAGAGCTGGGGAACACGGAACAGCTGTGGGTGCGGGAGGCACAATTTTTCCTTTGAAGAGCTGTATGTGGCTCTCGCGAGCCGTGGGTTGGCCACCTCTGTAGTAGAAAGCTTAGGAGGAGGTATGGATGGATCTGGAGAGGCACTCATAATTTCTCTTCCTTTCTTTACCCAAGAAGAGGAAACCAGCAGCAGGACTTGTAAATCCTATTCAGTTGAATGTTCAGAAGGGGAAAGAGGCACAATAGCCACAACACAAAAAATTTATTTTTGGATCCAAGTGCCGCCCCAGAATAAGGGCAGAAGGAGCCAGTTCCACTAACATGGAGAATACAAAATCCAGTGATATATTTGAATGTAGGGTGTTCAGAGTCAGAACTGGAACTCACATAGATTTAAGGCAGGAGTGAGGAACCTTTTTTTGGGTCAGGGGCCACTACCCACATAAAAATCAATTGGGGGCCATACAAGTGAGACGCAAATATGAGCAAAAAAACCTAAACCCTCACTGTGGCCCCCGCCTGAGAAGGAGAAAGATACTCCCCACGTTTCCCAGAGCCTATAGGAGCCCAGCCTAGTAGATATTGTGCGCTCCAGCCCCGCAGAGGGGCTGAAGTACCAGCATGGGCTCCCCAATGTCAGGGGCAGGATCCAGGCAAGCCAGACATCCTCCACCCCTGGTTTAAGGGCTGGAATCATTGTAGCTATGTCAGAATTGGATAGCTCCAAAAGTTTGATGCATGGGTTCTCGCCCCACTGAAAATGGCGGCCTCCTTTAGCTCTAAAAATAAGACAATGTCGCCAAAGCTAATGACATGACTCTAGTTTCCTCAGAAGGCAGCTAACCTAGTCCCACCAGCGGTGCCTTCAAAGTTTTGTTGGTTTTAACAGATAAATCTGGAATCAATCCCAATGTCCTGGGACCTGTACACAGTGTAGGGGTACTAGAGGAACCCAGAGTGGCAGAACCTGGTTTAATAGATTTCTGATCTGACAACCATCTGAAACCAAAGTTTTGATCTGCAAGAGCTGCTTTCTGCCTCTTCTCATGTGCTTTGGGTGTGAAAGATTGGTAAATAGAAAATACAGAAGGAAAGCAGCCTTCTCCAAGGTCTTTCAGATACCTAACATGGCCATCCAACTGTGACCAAAGTATCTCTTGATATCAGTTTAAAAGGGGGATGTGGATGAGTTATATGGGTCTCCGAATTCTGGTATATCAATTCTAAATCACCAAAGAATCTTGTGTGAGATCTCAAATGAAAACTGGTGTCACTGTTCATTAGTATCCCTGTATGTGCACCTTCTGTGCAAGAAGTTATGTCTGTACCAAAAAAATTATGTTCTTAAGTAGGTCACCAAATGGTGACGTATCTTTAAACTGGTTCCTGTAGATAAGGAGCTAAGATACATATATCTCTTTCAAGATGTAAATTAAACTTTGTAAGCTAACACATTTCCATTTATATCTGAAGTCAAATGTTAATACACAGATCTAAAGAAAACAGGAAAAAAACATGCAGAAATAAACAAGCCACAGGGAATTATCCTGTCTGTGTGTCAGCCGACGGTCAGGGCAGTGTGTGTGTGTGTGTTTCCGAGAAAAGGTTTAACGTCCGTGCCTTTACTGCTAGGACCGGGGTCCCATCGCAGAGGGTGGCCAGCAGGCCAACAGACGCCCCGTTATATAGGAAGAGCTTATTACATCTTAGATTTCAGCTGCTAGAATTTCATAATTCCTTCGCAGCGGGCAGCCTTGAGGAAAGACTGAAAGATGCCCCAGTGGGTCCTGTCACCTGGGAGTGACACAGATCCAAACGCCCAAGCTCTCCCTATATCTGTCCCTTTATGACCGGCTGAAGTTCTTTTAAATTGTGCTTGGTTCTGTTACAGCAACTGAAGGAGTCAGGTTAAAGCTTAAACAGTTACAGGTTTATTGAGGAAGCTTATAAATCATATGGTTGCAATGGCTATTGTTCTATTTCTTTACTATTAGCAAAATATAGGTCTTAAAATGGTTACAAAGAAGATAAAGATAGAAAAATAGAAATAATGGTACCAAGTAACAGCTTACTCTTTCTATGTGTACACTTAAGACAGAGGACCACATCCAGGTACCATTTTTACCCCCTTCTGTGCCTCTCGACTCCAGCATGTCGGGCCAGGGCCGGTCCCTCAATTCCTAGGAAAGACGAAAATACGAGGTGGGCGTCCCCATAGAACCTCGGGAGGTCAAACACCTAACCCGACCAGCAGGTAGAGGGTAGAATGACACTCAAAGTGAGTGTGTGCTGGGCCCATCTTTTATACTCATGGGGTCACGTATTTCTCTTTCTTATCTGTCATGCCAAATGGGGCTGGTCTGTCTTTTGTGAGACCAGTTCTTACAAGGGAGTTGTGAACTTAATTTACACTTGTAAGAGAGATAACTAAATTGGAATTACTGGGGATTCTTTTCTCAGTGGGAAATTCCTCTCCCAGGGACTCTGTGTGTGTTCGAATCAACATGGGTGCCAGCCGGGGCAGTTCTCGCAGCCTCAAGGCCAGCTTATTGCCTTAATCGCTCTCTCCTCATATCTATGTTTTCAGCTCCTCAGGATCAGATGAGCCAGCATAGACTATGCTGATATTATTGCTCCTTCTCTGTCCTGTATGCTTCAGAAAGGCAAATAAGATGGATGATATGAGCGTGCGGGGGCGGTCTGTCTGGCTACAGTGGGTAAAGATGACAAACTTTGGATGTGTGTCTAGAAGCCAAAGAAAATATGTGATATCCTGCACCTAGGAAGAAATAAATAGATAGCTTGTTTGCATTCATGAAAGTGGGGTCTCAGCCAGACTTGGTTGAAAATACTGCAGAAGATTTCAGGTGAAATAAAATTCTTTATACAGGAGGTTAACCTATTAAGTTTAGTCTACAGAAAGCATGTTATGGTTTTGTATGTGACTATTTGTTTTCAATATTCTTTACATTTGTTATCAATGATTCATGTATTCTTGTTTTCATTAAATCTAATTAAGTGCTGTGATGTTAAGCAAAGTGCTCATCCTGGGTTAAAGCTTACAAGGTGCTGTGTACAGTTGTTTAGTAACAGACAGGATCTGATTTCCAGTTAGGCACAGGAGGCATGTGCATAGGGGCACCTAATAGTTGAGAGTTAAATGTGTTGGTTTTTGTTTTGGGGGGGTTTTATTGTACAGAAAACATGAAGGACAGCTGTCAGTATAAGGGACAGGGGGCACTGAAGATGCTTTTCCTAGGTGCATATAAAAGCATGTAAATCTGGCCCTGACAACAGAACCTGGTAACTCTTAAGTGTCCAGTGGATAAGGGACAAGGAACACTCCAAGAACTCATGGGGTATGGGAGTTTTGGTGTCCCCCATCACTGCCTACATGGAGACACCAAACCTTGGAGAGACCTGTAAGGTAGTGCTTGAGCTGTTGGTTTCAGGGACCTGATCCACAGAAAATCCAAACAAGATTCCTTCACTCTAAAAACAGATATTGTGAGGTGCTTCCTCCAGCTCAGCTATTACATGGAATTGAATCTCACCAAGCATACTAACCTATCTAAACTTATTACTCTACCCGTAACTACAGGCAGTTCCCGGGTTACGTACAAGATAGGGACTGTAGGTTTGTTCTTAAGTTGAATCTGTATGTAAGTCGGAACTGGCGTCCAGATTCAGCCGCTGCTGAAACTGACC